TTGGAATCTTAAAGCAAGTTATATGTAGCTTAGCGACCTTATGGCCGCGCGACTATTCGGGTGTGTCCCAGATGGATCAAAACATTTTCTTAGTAAAATCAATGAGTGGTCTCCCTATATGAACGGCAGTCTCTATTTTAACATCTCCAATTTTTTTTGAAAGATTTTTTGGAAGGAAAGTTTAATCATATAAAAAAATTTAAATCATATCAAAAAATAAGTCCCCTTTGAGGGATTGTTGCAAAATATTTAATTGAGGGGTATATCGATAAGAGAGAAGGGACCCTTTGAGAGAGTGTTGAAAAGTGAGTGTCTATTTATTTAAATCAATCAAAAAATATTAATAATTTGAAAAAATATTATCAATCTACATTTAAATTTTAATAAAAAAATAATCTTCCACAATTAATTAAAAAATTAATTCCGCCAAATCTGAGAAAAATTTTAAATTTCTTTTCCTCCTTTTCGAATTAACAAATTTCCCCCAAATATCCACCCATTTATTCACATCTCTTTTCTTTTTACAAATTTGAGAACAAGAACTTCCTTGGCACATTTGGACACAATCACCATTAATTAATGTTGATAAATTTAAAATAAAAATTGTTAGGAAAAGAAAAATAAAAATATTTTTTTGAAACATTTTTTGGAAGGAAAGTGAAGGAAATTAATTTTTATTATTAAAATTAGTTGTCTTCTGATTAATTTTGAGAGTTTATATATTCGAGGGTTCTTCAAAAAATTCGAAAAAAAAATTAATTAATTATACGTAACAACAAAATAAAATTGTTTACTAATTAATTAATTTTATAAGAATTATTAAAGAAGACACTTTAATTAATTTTTACTAATATTAAAGTTAAAAAATAATTAGTAAGTTGAAATATTCTGGCTTAAAAAATTAAAGTTTTCTATAGAGTTCGAACCCGGGCCGGGCCCGGACCGGTTTTTTCCGGGCCCGGTGGCCCGGAACCGGGTATTTTTGGGAAAATCCGGTTTTTCCGGGCTAACCGGTTTTTCCGGTTTTAACCGGAAAACCCGGCCCGGGTGCGATTTTGTGTAAAAAAACCGGGTCCCGGGCCCGGTAATTTTTTGCCGGGCCCGGAGTGGGAGTTTTGGAATGTAAATTTGTCTGAAAATGGAAGTTTTGGCTTAAGGATCTCCCAAAATTATCAAAATTTTCGCCTGCGGCGCTGAAAAAGTAAGAACTCTAATGGGTTGCAGTGCAGTTCCAGTTCCGGAACTAATTAGTTTTAGTTCCAGTTCCGGAACTAATTAGTTCTAGTTCCAGTTCCGGAACTTATTAGTTCTAGTTCCTGTTCCGAAACTAAAACTACGGAACTAACGATTATGTGGAACTAGTTTGGAACTAGAACTACGAAACTAGTAAATGCCTGGAACTAGCTTGGAACTGGAACTACGGAACTAGTAAATGTCTGGAACTAGTTCTTGGGGGTATATTTTTGACAAGATTTCCTCAAAAATTACCTGCAGCGCGCTGAGTATGGAAGAGATCTGGCTGCTTGAGCTCCAAAATTCTAAAAATTTTCGCCTGCGGTGCAGAAAAAGTGAATTTTTTCGGCCTAAAACCTTAGATATTCTCATAATTTTCGCCTGCGGCGCTGGATAAGGAAAAATATGGGGATATTGGATGATTTGCTACTTTTAAATCCACTTAATCACACGGTAACCCTCCACTGCCCTTTTATCCCTTCATATCGTTCCTAATCCCGTTATACTTCTAGACATCGAGGTTTCAACTGAAGTTACTTCTTTACATTGATATCACCATAATTCCCCCTATATCCTTTTCATTCTCCAAAATCTCACGTTATATCGTGTTAACCAACTAAATCCATTTGCCTTACACTAATAAAGATATACATATATAGACGGGATATCACGGGTATCATTGGGTATGTAGATTTTTTATGTTTTTAATAAATTTAGAAAAAACCGGGTCCGGGCCCGGGTATGAAAAAATCCGGTTTTTCCGGGCTAACCGGTTTTTCCGGTTTTATCCGGAAAAACTGGTCCGGGTGCGATTTTGTGAAAAAAAAACCGGGTCCCGGGCCCGGCATTTTGAAAAGTTCGAACTCTAGTTTTCTATTTTTATTTTTAAAATTAAAAATATATGTTAATTTCTTATAAAATTTTTAATTTTGTATTTTTTATATTTAATTTAAATAATAAAGTGAATGAAATTTTAATTTTCTTCAAATTGTTCAAAAAAATAAAAATAAATTCCTGTAAATTTTTTAAAGTTATTAAAATGCACTCTCATTTTTGTGAGCATTTTAAAATTCATCTAAATTTCAAACAAATGGAGTCCCAACTTATTCAAATGGCCCAGATTGTGTTCAAATATGTAATGGTGGTAATAGTCAAGGAGAATCAATTTTCCCGCAAAATGTTGAAAAATAATCACAGCAAAATCCCAACAAAATGGTTGTAGCTCTGCTGGGTGCCGGAATTTTGGTCACCGGAATTTTGGTCACCAGCGGAATTTTGGTCACCAAGTCAAAAAACGGAATATTGGACACTGAAATTTTGGTCACCAAGAGGAATTTTGGTCACCAAACGGAAAAAAGAATCTTATCTAAAACTGATATCAAAGTGATAAAAAATGATTTTTCAACTCCCAGTTGATCAATTTCAATGTTGATCACTCTGCCAGTTAATCAATCATCCGGTAGAGTGATCGAGAGTGATCAACCGGGCGAGTGATCAGCCAGCAAAGTGATGAACATTGATATTGATCAACTGGGGAATGAAAAACAATATTTTTATCACTTTGATATCAGTTTTAGATAAGATTCTTTTTTCCGATTGGTGACCAAAATTCCTCTTGGTGACCAAAATTTTAGTGTCCAATATTCCGTTTTTTGACTTGGTGACCAAAGTTCCGAAAAAGCGTGGTGACCAGAATTCCGGTGACCAAAATTCCGTACACCGCTCTGCTTGTGTTGAGGCTATGTGTGTTAATACATGTAATTGAAGACCTATTCCTTTTGAAAAGGGCATATTGGCACTTCTCACCCCAACACTGATTATATGCTCTATCCCTTTTGATTTTTGCCGCATGACTCCCGACATGCCCTCTTCTTTTTGTGGTTTTTGCGCGAGTTGCCGACATGCCCTCTTCCTTTTGGTTTTTGCCGCGACGTTGCCGACATGCCCTTTTGATTTATCGGACCTCACCACCCGACTTTGATTGACAAATAAATGTTTACAAGGGATTACAGCCCAGACGGTGACCGGTGGTAAACTACTGTCTTTAAAGATGCCTCCACTCTATTTATGAAATCCCTCCAGTAATAATTAAATTTAAACATCAAGATGATTTAAATTTAATAAATTTAAAAAACAACAAAGCTAGCAAGTTTTAATCGACTTGCCATATTTTCGCCGATAAAAATTACATAATCAACGTCAATCAATGTAAAATTGATTTCCCTGTTCCTTAAATAAATTTCTCTCCTCTCTCCACTTGCTCTCATTTAATTGCCCTTTTTCTTTTTTAATTTTTAAATTTAAAAATGTTTAATTTAATTTAAAAACAAGACTCATAACCGGAAGGATTTTATAACAATTTTAAAATCTAGCCAATTGAAGATTAAAAAAAACTTTCGAATTGAGCTTCTGTTGAGAAATATGTTAATTGAAAAATAATTTAATTAACAGACGCGAATTTATCAAAAGCTATGTAATTTCCTATGAAAAAATTATTTTTACAAATTTTATATTTTATGTACAAAACCGCTTAAAAATAGCCTTTTCCGTTCCAGAGATATGATTTTTTAAAAATGGCATTTTTAGCGTATTTTTGCAAAAAATTCAATTTTAAAGGAAAAATGAGTTTTTTAAAAAATCATATCTCTGGAACGGAAAAAGCTATTTTTAAGCGGTTTTGTTGGAAATACTCACAAAAATATGCATTATCAAATGGGCTTTTCAAATTTTTTCAGAAAAATTTTTCCGAGGACATGGGATTGTTGCAGCCCGATCGAAGATGGGCTGATTCTGCAAAATAATAAAAGAAGGAAAAAATTAATATAAAAAATAAAATTAAATAAAATTTTGCAAAGAAGAGAGGCAAAGGATTAAATAAAAAACTAAAAAAGGAATGCGCCACACAAACTTCATTCACGTGCATTCCCGCGACTGAAGTTTGTGTGGGCAAATTTACCCATCTCGTTTGTTTGCTTTATTATCTTTTCACCCCTCTCTCCCTTTTCTCTAATTTTAAAATTAATTTTTTCTTCTTTAAAGTTTTGCTGGAATTTTCTATCCAGCCAAACTTTTCTTATCATTGTTTGCACAGCTACCTATTTCATCATTTTTCACCTTAACTTTCTATTAAATTTTTTGCCATTGGCCAAAAACCAGGGCCAATGGACTGCTTTAAAAGCCCCTCCCCAAACCCCCAAAATATTGTCTTCTCCAGTTCATTCTTCAATAAACACCTTCTTCAAATAAAGCCTTCTACCTTTCACAGCAACTGTTAATTTTAATTTAATTTTGAAATAAATAATTTCAATTTATTCTTTAATTTATTTTGAATTCCTCCTTGGTTGGTTGCAACATTAAGTGGGGGCTCAGCAACAAAACGACACCAGGACCTACAACAACTACAATTAATTTTAAATTTGTTGGACTCATCAGTGTTCAACTCATCTGCCGAATCAACTAAAGTGTTCATCGTCCGTGAACAACAACAAAAAGTGCGAAGCAAACTTGTGCAGCAGACGTTCAAATCTACACCAAATCGGATCAACTCGGATCAAAAGGTGTGGGGAAGATTTATTAATAAAATTTAAATTTTATTCGAGAGCTAATCGGGTTTCTATACTCCGACTTAGTTCAAATTTATATTGTTCAATTACTTGTCTCTGAACAACTAATTGAGTCAATATCACCTCGAGGGAATCAAATAAGGTTCTCATCTTCGGCAGTTATCTAAGGGTCCTTTAATTTATTTGTGAAGTCCTAAAGGCAATTTAAAAAATAATGGCATCACCAATCAAAACAACAATTGTCAATGCAATCAGAGCATTGGCAAAAATAAAATCAAAAGAAGAATGGGTTGACAACATCAAAGAAGGCGATTCCAACCAAATAAAGGCAATCAAATTAGAAGCGCAATTCAAGCGATTAGAAGAAGAAATAAATAAAGCAGAAGCGAATATTGAAGACATCAGAAAAATCAAAAAAAAATCTCTCTCATCATGGACAGACCTTCTACGCAAAATACCATCTGATGAGCGCCCAGGGGCAAATGACGAATATGAGGCCTTCCAGAAGACACACAAATTAGAAGCATCAATGGAGGCAATTGATACTATGCTCCGACAACTAAAAGACTTCAAAGATGATGTCTCAATCAAAGCAAAGGTCGCTATGGCAAAAAGCGACAAAGAATTAAAAGAGGAAGAAATAAAATATTCCCAAAAGATGCAGTCGACTTCAACTCAATCAAGTGGAACGCCTCAAACAGCAGCAACTACTATTTCATCGGTCTATCAATTGCCGACGCTACAAATCAAACCCTTCAATGGAGCTCGAAAGGACTGGGTAGAATTCTATGAATCATTCAAATGCGCAGTGGACTCTGGAAATGGCTCAGACGTGGAAAAACTTACTTTGCTGCGGAACTTAGTGGATGGAGAAGCGAAGGAACTAATTGCTGGATTCAGGCTCGAGGCAAAGAGTTACAAAGAAGCTCTACAAATGCTTAAAGACAACTATGGAGACAAAGACGCCTACATTAGAAGCCTGCACACACGTCTAACAAATCTCAAGGCATGTGTAACACTGGGAGATGTTCGGAGGTTCAGCATCGAACTGGAACGACTGGCCCGTGAGCTGCAAAATTCAGGAGAGGATATCGAGGGACCATCCGTTTATCTTGCCTTGGAAAAGAAGCTCAACAAGCCCTTCTTAAGGACCATATTGTCTAAAAGGTCCGAAGGCAACAACTGGTCCACAACTCAATTCAGAGAAGCTTTACGAGAAACAATCCAAAAGGAAATGGCAATTCAAGAAGTCATGAATGAATATGAGAGAGAAGTGCCGAGACGACCCAATCGAATGAGCTTTCAACCAAATCAAAGAGGCAATCGATTTCAAAGAAGATCGGCACCAAATCAAAACCAGAGGCAAGATTTTACTTACGCAACTTTAGCACAGGGGCAACAAATAAAGCCGAATCCAATCAAAAGAAGCTCATCAAGAAGGCAGAGAATTTCGGCAACAAATCAAAATATGGACAGACAACCTCAAATGAATTGGAAATGTGCGTTCTGTGACGAACAACATTTCAATGACAGATGTGTCAAATACAGTACTCCGCAAGAGAGACTAACGAGAGCCAAAGAGAAGAAATTGTGTACCAGATGCCTGCGAAAGGTACACACAAGTTTCAACTGTCCAAAACCTTCTATGTGCTTCCACTGCAAAAGGATGCACCCATCTGCTCTATGCTTTTCAAAGATGCAGAATCGATATGCCCAAAGGCAGGAAAATGTTCAACCTTCCAAGTCTGGAAATCAAAACACAATGAATAATCGGCAACCTGAGCAAGCAAACGCTGTAAAAGAAGAAGGCTCGAAATCTGTGCTGATGACTTTGCCAGCAATTGTTTGCAATCCAAAACGCCCTCAACAAAAGGAAGAGGCTCTTATTTTCTTGGATGCTGGAAGTCAACGCTCCTTTATATCGGCAAAATTGGCCAACAAACTGCAACTACCAATCGTCTCCAAAGAAAAATGCCATTTAACCAGTTTCGGAGACAGATGCTCTAAAACCTATGACAGCGACTTGGTGCGACTCAACATATATTGTGCCGATGGCCAGAAATTGAGCGTTGTCTTGAATAAATTGGGCTTTTTGGTTAATCCCTTGCCCTGCTTCAATGTGCGTGAAATTGATCCAATTGATCTACAACGTGAAAAAATTACACCAAGCTCTTGCAAGCAACCAGATATTTTACTTGGAGTGGATTTGTGGCACGAACTCAACATTCAGCAACTTAAAAGACTACCAAGTGGCTTTACAATTAGCGACTCCAAACTAGGAAAAATTTTAAGTGGAGCCGGCCAGATGGACGAAGGATTTGCAACACATACAATCTACGCAGCCTCTGTTCAAGTAAACGTGGTAATCACAGAAGACAGGCCTTGCATTGCTTGCTTCACTAATGTTAAAGAAAATAATGATTGGCCTACCAAAACTGAATGGCCTACAGCTGGCACATGCACTCATTCAACCGAACAGAAGAAAATTTCAAATGAAGAGAATATATTAGTCAACACTACATTGGACCAGAAAAACTCAATAGAAGAAGACAACTTGACAATCAACGACCGCGAAGCTAATGAAAACCTGGCAACTTTCTTTGGCCTACACTCTATTGGAATGGATGATACAATGCTTCCTGAAGACAAAGATGAAGTGATGCAAAACTTCAAGAAGAATCTAACTTTTGTTGATGGCCGATACCAAATTTCTCTTCCATTCAACAGTCAAATACATGCTCTGCCAACAAATTATCGACACGCTAAGATGCGACTGGCCAGCACACTAAAGAAGCTGCGACAACTAAATGCGATTGATCAATACCAAGCAATTCTAGATGATCAACTTGCCAAAGGGGTAATTGAAGTTGTGAAGAACCCAAATGAGTCGACTGGACCAGTGCATTACCTTCCTCATCGAGCTGTGGTCCGGGAAGACAAAAACACAACAAAATTGCGAATTGTTATGGATGCTAGTGCCCGTCCACCAAGTCAACGAAGTGCTCCTTCATTAAATAATTGTCTACACACTGGACCACTTTTGCTTAAACAACTTGTTGGAATTTTACTTCGCTTTCGACTAATGGATCGAGTAATATTGGCCGACATTGAGAAAGCATTTTTGCAACTTGGCGTCAGAGAAACTGACCGAGACTGCACCAGATTTCTGTGGGTAAACGATCCCAAAAATATTTCTTTAGAAAACTTCCAATATGCTCAATGCGTCGTCTACCGCTTCTGTCGTGTCAGTTTTGGACTTACTGTTTCACCTTTTTTGCTCAATGCTACAATTCAAGAGCATCTTAGCCTATTTGATTCACCAGTGGCTCGTACAATTGAAGAAAACCTCTATGTGGACAACATAATGATTCAAGTAAAGGAAGGAGAAAATGCTAAACAAATGTGCCTGGAATCTATTGAAATATTCCAATCTGGTGGAATGACATTGCGCGAATTCTCTGGATTTTTACCAAATGAAATCAAAGGCTTTCCAGCAGAAAATTTAGCAACTGATCAAAACAATGTTAAAATACTTGGCATTCCTTGGACTAGAGAAAATGATACAATAATACTCAAATTGGCCAAATTTAATGGAAAACCAACTAAAAGAACATTACTTTCTACCATTGCCAAAGTCTATGATCCACTAGGACTTGTATCTCCAATTGTTCTTCAGGCAAAATTTATTTTACAACGTGTTTTCGAAGCAAATTACAAATGGGATGCTCCCCTAGACGACAAATTATCTGAAGAATGGTTGAAATTAATGGAACTTTGGTCAACAACAAGCGAAATAATTATTCCTAGATTAATTAAAAATGATCCAAAAAAGGAACTTCATTGTTTTACCGATGCCAGTGGTCATGGATTTGGGGCAGCAGTTTATCTACGAACATTCAATGCAATAAATGGATGCACAACGAAATTAATATTTGCTAAAAGTCTAGTTAAGCCAGCTTCTCTACCAATTAATGCTTCAACAATTCCAAAGCTAGAGCTTCAAGCTCTAACACTCGGGGCAAAAATCATCAGATACTTACAAAATGAGCTGGTTATAGAAGCAAACACAATTACTTTGTGGAGCGATTCTCAATGCAACATAGAAAGGCTGAAAAAATTTGGAAAATATGATCGATTCGTCAACAATAGACTGGCAAAAATTCGGGATTTATGTCCTGTCAAACACGTAACAACAGAGGACAATCCTGCTGACTTGTGTTCACGTGGAACAACACCACAGGAGTTAATTGGCAATGAACTCTGGTTTCAAGGTGGTTACAAAATGCAGAAAAAAATTGGCCTACTCCTTTGGTAATATACAAACCTGGACAAGAATTAGACAATGAAGAGGAAAATGGCATTGAAATCCAAGCAGTGATAGAAGAGCAAATTCCAGAAGGCATCATTGACGTACTAAGATTCTCGAAGTACAAGAAATTAATTTCAACATTGGCCTACGTCTTCAAATTTATAAAGAAAATGAAGAAATTAATCCATCCCGAGGAAAGTGAAATAGTGCAAAATGAAATAAAAATGAAGGATTTAAAAGAAGCTGAAAGATATTTGATCAAAACAACACAGGCCCGACATCCTCCTACAAAAGACGTGATTTCAAGTCTGAAAATGTACAAAACAACTGATGGAATTTGGCGCTGCAAGGGGAGACTAGACGAATCAGAAGCAAAATCAGAAGCAAAGAACCCAATCTTCCTGCCCAGAGAATCATGGGTTACAAAACTACTAATTTTGGATCTTCACTTAGAAAATAAACACTGTGGAAGCTCGACACTTCTTGCCATACTTCGGCAAATTTATTGGATACAACGTGGACGAAGAACAATAGAAAATACAATCTACTCAAATAAATTTGGATGTTTGATGTGCCGAAAATTCAAACTACGTCCATATTCGCTGAGAGACTTCGACAACTTACCACGTTACAGAATAAATGTGGCACGACCGTTTTTACATTGTGGCGTGGATTATTTTGGACCAATGAATGTGAAAGGACAAACAACGACAGAAAAGGTTTATGGTGCACTCTTCACATGTCTCACAATTAGGGCGATACACTTGGAATTGGCAATCGATGCATCAGCAGAAACTTTCCTTCAGGCCTATAGACGTTTCATTGCAAGACGTGGAACACCTTCAATAATGGTTTCAGACAACGCTACAAACTTCACTCTTGGCTCGAAAATAATTAAGAAAATGAATTGGGACTTATACTCTTCAAAGGAACTGCAAGACTTCATCAAATTCAGAGGCACAGAGTGGAAATTCATTACACCACGCAATCCAAGAGAAGGAGGAGCCTGGGAAAGACTTGTTGGAGTGACCAAAACAGCACTGAAAAGATGCATTGGCAAAAAACTTCTGACTACGACTGAATTGACAACACTTTTTTGCGAGATTGAAGCAATAGTCAACTCCCGACCACTTACATTTATGTCCGACAAAGAACCCTTGAATGCTCTTCGACCAATTGACTTCATTTGTCCGTACAATCCAATAGAAATAAATTTACCTCAGACAGAAATTGAGGAAGATGAAGAATATATGCCAACTACGACAACAAAAAATGAATTGACCAAACAATTAAAAAATGTCCAATTGCGTCTAAACAACTTCTGGAAATTCTGGAAATCCAACTACCTGCTTTCCCTGCGAGAAAAATTGCCTAAAGGACAAGGGGAAGCAAATATCACACCTAAAGAGGGGGACATCGTTCTCGTCGAAGATGAGAATCTGCTTCCACGATCGCTTTGGAAAGCAGCTAAGATCGTGGAACTGATTCGGGGAAGGGACAATATAGTTAGGACAGCTAAAATTTTAATAAATGGAAAAATTCTGAAAAGAAGTATTAATCAACTTTTTCGTTTAGAAGTTCAACCCGAAATAGAAACTGTTCAAGTAATGGCAACGATTGAAACAAGCAACACTGTCGGCATAAATAATTCTATGGAAAATAAACAACGGAAAAGAAAACATGACGAAATTCAACCCAAGCCTTTGCAATTTCCGAAATTGGCTTCTGACTTCACAATAGCAAATACAAATAGGAAGTTACTTGAACCAAAACAAAAATCAATTACAGACAAGGAATTAAAGAAGATTAAAGAAGTAATCACTATTCATAAACGAAATGATGATCCAATGCGCAATCTGCCTTGTGTGCTTTATCGAAGGGGGAAATCGCCACCACCACGAAACTACATAAAGGAAAAACTACAACCAAACTTCATGACAATGCCAACACGAGCTTATGGAACATACACTATGCCAAAGAAAGACACTTAATCTGGCGCCGGAGTCTGTTGCAGCCCGATCGAAGATGGGCTGATTCTGCAAAATAATAAAAGAAGGAAAAAATTAATATAAAAAATAAAATTAAATAAAATTTTGCAAAGAAGAGAGGCAAAGGATTAAATAAAAAACTAAAAAAGGAATGCGCCACACAAACTTCATTCACGTGCATTCCCGCGACTGAAGTTTGTGTGGGCAAATTTACCCATCTCGTTTGTTTGCTTTATTATCTTTTCACCCCTCTCTCCCTTTTCTCTAATTTTAAAATTAATTTTTTCTTCTTTAAAGTTTTGCTGGAATTTTCTATCCAGCCAAACTTTTCTTATCATTGTTTGCACAGCTACCTATTTCATCATTTTTCACCTTAACTTTCTATTAAATTTTTTGCCATTGGCCAAAAACCAGGGCCAATGGACTGCTTTAAAAGCCCCTCCCCAAACCCCCAAAATATTGTCTTCTCCAGTTCATTCTTCAATAAACACCTTCTTCAAATAAAGCCTTCTACCTTTCACAGCAACTGTTAATTTTAATTTAATTTTGAAATAAATAATTTCAATTTATTCTTTAATTTATTTTGAATTCCTCCTTGGTTGGTTGCAACAGGATTTGGTATATCCGGTAGATCCGGATTATCTCGGCCAATTTTCAATTTCATGAAAAATGCAGAAACATGTCAACTGAGATACAAATAGAGCTGTATAGATCGTATTTTTTGACTGAGAAATAGTTAATTTTCATTTAAATTACTCTTGATCTTTATGATACTCTTGATCTTTAAATTACTCTTGATCTTTATGTCCAATACTTTATAAAATTTTATTATTTTATTATTTTTTTAATTTTATTATAAACAAGATTTGTAAAAAAAAACCAATTAAAAAAATGTTTTTATTCCAATTATTTATTTTAATTCTTTATTCAATTCCTAATTGTTCTTCTCCCCCATATACATACCCCATATCTCGTAAGTTAAAACGATCAGAAAAAATTTCAAAATTTTCAAAAAAACTTTTTTCCAGTTTTGTATGGTTGGTATAACGAGGCATTTTTGCATAGAAATATTGAAAAATATGGAAATAAAGTTTTGGATTGGCATTTTTCTGAATATCTTGGAGAGATAAATTCAACGGAAGAAAAAAAGTTAAAAATATCAATTGTTAGCCAGACAATTTTACTCGATGAATTGTATAATCTACATTCGCATAAGCTAATAAACTGGTGTTTTTATTATTAAATAATTTATTATTAACTAACTTTTTAATAAGGAAAAAGTTAATACAGTTTTTTGATATTCATAGAAAATTAGCAGAAAACTGTGAAAATCACAAAACTTGACCAGATCACAAAGCCGGTTAACAAATTTACTGGATTTGAATCCGGATTAGGCACATGACATTGATTGTGGATTATTCCTTCCGGAAAAGTTCACAGGTTATGAAAATCCAATAGTAATTATGGAACTGAACTCAGAAAAAATCCTGCCGGATCCATTTCAGCCCCAGACACTAGCACTAATTTTCCTTTATAATATCAACTTCTCATAAAGCCCGTCAACAAAAAGTCGTGAGCAACCCCAAAAAATATTTTTAACTTCTTTAATTTAATTTAATATTTCTAGGCCAATATTGAATGATATTCTTTATCGTTTTCTCAGCAAATATAACTTATGCTGCCTTTTGGGTTGCAGAAAATATATTAGAAATCGGTTAACTAATACAACTAATAATTCGTTGCTTGAAGAAGGAGAGTTTCTAGGATGTAGTCCTTTTGATCCACATATAAACGAGGAAATATTTAAAGTTCATAAACAAATATTAAAAGAAACTAATTTTATAATGTTTTTAAGAAGAATGGAAACTGGCGAATTTAAAGAGATTATTGAGTAAATATTTTGATAATTTATTTAAAAATTTTGCCGGATCTGATGTCTTGAAAATTTATAAAATCCCGCCAATGTACATATAACATTTGCGTGTATTGTAACTGCTCTGATAGGACCACTAGTGAATCGGAAATGACAAAGATGCCGAAAATCGGAAATGGCTCGGAAGTCGGAAATCAGCCTAAATTTTCGGAAATCGAATTACGATTCATATCTGGATAAGACCATCTCCTTAACAGAAGCACACTCCCTAATATAACTATAAGAGAGGATATATTAGAGCAATTAAGGGGTTTTAAAATATAAATATTTTATAATTTAAGAAAAATTTCTGGAAGTAATATAACGCCGATAATTATTGAAGAAAATCTTTTTAATTTATTCGGAATTGTTAGAACTGAAATACTTCGTTATGCACTTCCTGAATTATTTGTTGTTTTTGGTTAGTTTATGGAATTTTCGGGTCTATTATTTCCTGAAAATTTTTTATTCATAAAGGTATTGAACTAACACAAGTTCGTCCGCTTGAAGAATTTTATAGAAACTATTTCAATGCTGAATCATTAATTTTAAAATGGAGGATCAAACAATTTATTGAATATACCCTATGCCTTACAGGTGTAATTTTCCATTTGGCCCGAGAAAATTAAATAAAAATTTTTAGACACAAATTTTGATGAGGAAGAAACCCAAATTTTGATAGAAATGACTAAACATTATTGGTATGGTGATACAAAAATGCAAATACAATATGTCAAATTAAAGGAATTGACAGCGAAAGAGATTAAAAAGAATATTACGGTAGAAATCGAACCTCGTTTTTATATACTCCCAATACTGGGTACAGCCCAAGTAGACGCGCGGCCAGGTAGGCGCAAAGCCATAACTTGCTTCATGAATTCGAATCTTTCAAAATTTAGTATTAAACGATTCCTCTCATCGAGCTAAAGAGATTGGTAACAAAATTGCTAAGGTCCAGAAATTTTCCAGGTAGTTATGACTTTGCGCCTACCTGGCCGCGCGCCTACTTGGGCGTGTCCCCCAATACTATCTCATTGCAAGTTTTTATTAAATTTGACTAGCCATGGGCGGTGAGCTGTTTAAGAGATAGCCCCTATTTAAGATAAACTTATTACAAAGTATGATTTGTAATCATCAAGAGTGTATCTCTTAAAGTGAGCTCTGAATGTATAATTTTAGTGTTATTATCTAAACATGGAGGAAATTGTTGTAAAAGAATTAAATGCAAGAACACCGTCATACATATTAGCTGTATGTGAAAGTATTCAGGAAGTTAGGAAAAATATTAAAATTGGCAAGAAAAATGTAAAAAGTAAAGATGAAATAAAAGAAAATAAAATATTAAATATTAAAGAAATTGTTTTGAGAAAAATGACACGAGGTAACTTAGTTGATGTAAATATTAATTCGAGAAAAGCATTGCATTCGGATGCTATTAAAAAATTAATAATAAACAAGTATAAAAATGATGATTCATTTAAAGATGCAATTGATAATAATCCAAGTATTTAGTTATTTTTAATAAAATTTAAAGTATATGCTAATTACCTCTTGTCTAATCATTTGAAATTTGTCTCAAATTACTACTTGACATGTTATCCGAGGTCTAAAAATCTCGGTTAGTAGAACGGTCCGCATCTGGATGTCCCAATACTTATAGTGTATTGGTAGATCGTACCCAGTATGACAATACAGCAGCACTAAGAGCTCTAAATTGATAAAATGATTAATAAATTTCGCCATCTATTCTGCCCACATTCATCTATAAATTTGGCATTAGAAATATCCAGCCAAACACTTGTTTCGTCACATCCATAAATATATTATCGTTTTCTTTGCGCATTTAATATCATTAAGATGATATTAAAACATTGACTGGTTATTCAAAAAAACAATTATTTGATCAAATTGAGAAAAGTAAAAATGGAAAAGAAAATAATGAAAATATTGAAGAAAAAACAATGGTATTAAATAATAATTTGGACGAATCCACAAATGATTCTAATGCAATTATTGAAATAAATGAAGAAAATAATGATGAATTGGATAAATTAAATGAAGAAGAGAAATTAAATGAAATTAAATTTAAAGAAGAACAATTAATTGAACAAAAAACTGGAATTAATGAACCCGTAAAAATACTTTTTAATCAATTGGATCATGATATAATTGCTCATATAAATTTAAATGGTAATTGAAAAACACATATATTTAGTAATTAAATTCGGAATTATTCGAATATTAAACAATGATTGGGGCCATTCGAAACTACAAACGAAAATTTTCGAAAGCACAGACGGCAATTACTAACGGCAAACGTTATTGGAGACGTTTATCGTTTGCCTAATAATTTAAATTGAACACTGGACTGCGATCTGAAGTAACAGAGCAGTTTTTCACGGATCGCCACTTAGCCTTTTGTATAAAGACGTTATTATTTTAGCCAAGAAAATACTTAAAGTTATCCAATAATATTTAAATCCCCCATTGATAATTAAATTTTAAAATTTATCAGATTTATATGAATTGAGTCAACTCGAATCAACTGAATTAGCTTTTAAATTTAAAAATTATTTATCAGAATTATATTCAATTTTAATGCAGAAACCTCAAAAGGATAAATTATTTAATCAAATGTTATTATTTATTAATATTAGTTTAATGACTAAATTAATAGAAGAAAAATTGAAAATTAAAAAAATATTATTAAATAAAAATTTAATTGAAAAAAGCAGAAGAAAACAAGATTTAATTACATTTAAAAATTTAAAAACTAATTGGACAAAGTTTAAAAAAATAAAATTTATTAAAAATTATAATTATGTTAATGACAAAAATGAAATTTTTGAAGATATTCTAAAGGAATTGATCAAATTTTATAATAATTTAATTATTTTTGAGGAGGAAATAATTTCAAGTGAAAATTTTGGGTAGCGCATTTTCTTAACATAGATAATGTATTAGGGTGTCAAATAAGTTGATTTAATAGAATATTCCTGTCAAAAACAAAAGGTTGTTATTGTTGTTTTGTAGAATTAGATTCCAACTTCGACCACTTGCAGATTCTACCACAAAGTTGTAATCTGAAACAAAGAAAAGATATAGGCTATCTGAAATAAAAGTGTTCTATATGTTTAGACTGGGCGTCACCAGTTTAATTAACACGAATTAATTCAAATAAATAAATAAATTTATTAATCAAACAAAATGTTAAGTGAGGAAAGTTTTGTTAAGTGAGATACATTAACTAGAGAGATGAGATACATTAACTAAAGTTCATTAAACATCACCATATCTTAGTAGTAAGATACTCGTTATACTCGTTAATAAATTGAAAATTTTTTGTATAAATACATAAATAATTTTTTTAAGTTTTAGTCAAATCCATTTCCACATATTTTCTTTATTAATATCAAAGAATACAAAAATAGATGAAAATAAAGGAATTATTAATATCCCTTCCAAAAATTTTAAAAATTTTGAAAAATTTGTTAAAAATAATGGAGAAATAAAAGAATTATTTTTTGAAAGATTTTATTCAATTATTAATGAAAATAACGAAAAAAATAAATTATATGTAAATAGTTATAATGAAGTATTTATTCAAATTTTTGTTGAAAAAATGAAAAGTTATATAAAAATGTTTGATCAACAATTAATTGGTAGTTCATTTATTGACTAAATTCATTAGATTGAATATTTGAGAGCTTTTCTAGCTTATTTTTGTGTTTATTTGTAAAGGTCGGCTAACATACCGTGTAAGTGTCAGTCTAATATAGGGTCCGAAGTTACGGAGCAGAAATTGCGGTGACAGAGAACGGGAGCTCTGGGGAGACCTCCCTCGTTGCCCCGGTGAACGGCGATCGAAACCTGGTGGAACATAGTGCACTCGCGGAGCTTACATTTTTAAGCCGGAGCTTATATCGAAAAAATGAGATAATTCATAAATTTAGATGTTAATTTAAATAAACAACTGGAATTATTAGAAGAATCAGAAACATTGAAAAATATCAAATATAAAAGTGGAAAATGGGTATTTGGAGAAGGATTTTATGAAATTGGTCAATTAATTTATTCAAATAAAGAAAAGGAATCAAATTTAGAAATTAAGTTAAAAGAATATTTGGATAATATTTACAAAATTACCCCAAAAGAAATAAAAGAAAGGGAAATAATGGAGGTTTGGATTGAAAAACAAATTGAGGAATGGCTCAAAAATATTTGTAAAAAATCAAGAAATAAATATGGAGGTATAAAGTACAATATTTAGTATTTTTATAATTAAACGACCGTGTTTAGTACGGCCGTCTACAACATGCTAAGTCTATACTTAATAGTAGGTTCAAAGACTTGCTAATGCCCATTCTTATTTTCCATTTCTCCGTCAAACGGATATACTCTATCTTAATTAAAATGAAAAAAATTTAGGTTATTCAAAAATAATTGCTGGATCTAGTCTTTATGGTATTCAAACATCTTCATCAGATTTGGACATAATTTTTATTATTCCACAAAATTGTTTAATTCCTAAATCAATTAAATGCCCAAAATGTAAAAAAGAAATAAATTCCATAAATTCTAGAATGTGTAAAGAACATGATTTGATTTTTGGAAACAGTCACGATTCGTTATATAAAATGTTATATACAGCATTTATTAATGATAATGAAAGGAAATTTTCTAAGGTAAAAGAGTGATACTTTAGTTATTATCTGTTAAAGGATCTTTGATTAATAATATAGAACTTGTGGAAATTGGTTTGATTACAGAAATAGTTTAGCTGACAGTGATCGCTCGGCCTAGCTCACACAAATGCAGGTGCTCTGCCACTGAGCTATCGGGGCGACAACTAATGCTTATTCTTTTATCCTTATGTTTGTTTAACACCCGCTTTCATCCCAAAATCCCACGAAATACCTCAGGCACTCTCCTTTGTAAGCGTTTTAAATGCTGCTATGTGAATCATCCTTAAAATACTAGCAAACCAATACCAGAATAATTTAAAAGAACGATGGGATTTATCCATAGAGTTCTTATTATCCCTAAAACTTTTACATACCCCTATAATTTTAAAAATATAGCTAAATCCAATTGCAAATACTACAGTGCCTCTTTTCGATATTAACTTTAATGGAATTGATATGGATATAATGATTGCCCCAATTGCAAGAGATGAAGTTTCTGATACTTGGAATTTTAATTTAAATAATTATGTAAATTCAATTAATAAAAATTCAGAAATAATTGATAAATTAATTAATGAAATGTTAATTGATGGAAATAAATTATTTGCAAAAAGTATTATTATGTTAACTGGTAGAAAATAAATTTTTATAAAAAATTTAATTTATTAATTATTAGGTTATCGAGCAGCTTTTAGACAAATGTTTGTTTTGTTGGATAAATCAGGAAGAAAAATTTTTAAAAATTTACTAAAAGCTATTAAGCATTGGGCAAAGCGTAAGTTTTATTATATCAAAATCATCTTCCCGATCGGGATTCTGTGCAAGAGCCGGACCGGTCCAGCTGATTTTCTCCGGTTGATACTCCCCTTTATGTCGAAATATATTTAAAGTATTTATTTATTAGATAAATCTAATAACAAAAAATTTATTTATTAAAAATAAAATTAATTGAAATCGGAGAATAATGCAAATAAAATCGGTTTAACAATTTTCTTATATATTTAATAGCGGCTTCGGGGTTGGGCAGTCATATTTTTTCTTCTGTCCAATAGTCTGGGAAAAGTAGCTTGGCTTTGTTGGCGATCGTTACTTCCTGGCCTGTAAAAGAAAGAAAATGACTAAATTGGTGTAAAAAACATATATTTATTATTGTATGGACAAGGAATGGCCAACGAGAGATATTATGTGAGTAAACATTGTATTTTGTTTCAATGTGCGCTCACGACACCAGATTCCGGACACGACTTTTCTTTCTGTTCCAATGTTATTATGATTTTTGGCATTATGTATTTGGCAGTTGTTAAATAAATCAAAAATATTTTTTTAATTTTAAAAATTTTAAAGAGAAACAAATATATTCAAATATGTTTGGCTATTTGAGTGGAACTATTTTATCAATACTGGCAACAAAAATATGTTTATTATATCCTTCTGGATCACTCTCATTTCTATTTCACAAATTCTTCATTATTTTCTCAAAATGGTTAAGAGAACTTTATTTTTAAATTAAATTAATTTTTAAGGGATTGGCCTAAACCTTTATTATTAGAACCTTTAAGCACAAAAGAAGATTTAGAAAAATTGGGAAGATTAAAATTACAACTAAATTCGTGGAAAATTAAAGATATTGAAAGAGAAGGAAATTTAATACCTGTTATTTCAACAAAATATCCAGAATTAAATTCGGCTAAAAATATTAATGAAAATGGATTAAAAATTATAATTGATGAAATGAATAAATGTAAACAATTTTACTATTAATTTCTAGTAGAGATCAGTCAAGCTTCAATAAAATTAGTTATAATAGCTTGGATTTGATATTTGATA